AAACTAGAGCAAAAACATTCAACAGGATGAGTAACACTTGAAACGGAAAAAGTAAATAGAACAAGAAGCAACCTTAAAGGTGATCAAAGATAACTTTCGAGAAAAGGTATAATACTTCTAGATAACAGTAATGCGAGTAATATTCTAAATGCTAACCCTAATAGATATGAGATAAGAAGGTTTTAACAATTGAGGTTATACCGGAGGAGGGTTTTAGCGATGACGATGAAGGTCCGGCAGCTAATCTTACCGCATTTCGTGATGCTCCGAGTCGGAGAACATGCAAGAGTGCTCCAGTAGGTTAGGTTAATTGCAATAGCATCCAGCTCAAAGTGATTCAACTTAATGCTCAACTTCATGGCAGTGACACCCAAGAGGAGAGGAAGGAGGAAGAAGAGTAGCCGGAATTACCTGTAACAGGGGATTATGGCGGGAGAGGAGAAGGATGTATAGAACAATTGTGAGCACTAAGAGAGATAATGAGAGATTTGTTCTTATCCATAAATTTTATTAGGGTTGGTTAGGGTGATAAATGGGGTATTGTATTTAGTATTGGGTAGGGGATTACAGTGTTGAATCAACCCATTCTAAAAGTGCAGTCACGATTGCTATGGAGACAATAGTAGAAATTGTCTTGCAAAATATATTTTGGCAATCTCATGGGGGATTTGTGAATACTAGAGACTGGTACGGTGGAGAGATGTATGCCTGTAGAGAACGGGGCGCTGACACATAGGAGTCGTTACGTTCAGCGTGAGCCAGGTTCAAAGTACCCGATCCATTAATGTCAGTAGGGATCAGGCAATCATTGTATCCTCATAACCCGCTGGAGCCGTCAGGACATACAAGCTAGCAACTGGCCTTCTGAGGCAAGTCGACTGATGTCTGGGTTGTGCTGGGCGCTAGGATTTAGTGTCGGACCCATTGGTCTGACCATTATGTACTGGGGTGTAATGATGTATGTCAGACTTCACCAGGAGCACTTGTGATATCTTTTGAGAGGCAGGTTACGTACTAAATGCCCCGAGCATTTTAAGCGCCCCAGTCTTCTGGCGAAGGCTACAGGTTTGCTGATGTCTCAAATCTGATGTTATTTGTTAACAAACTGAGGGCTAGCATCAGAACTTATACAGACTTGCGATAGTGAGTCCAGTTTTGAAAGGCAGTCGGGTATGAAGAAAGAAATCTCATATTTGTGATACCGACTAGATAATAAAATGTGACATGACATAACTCGGACTTCTAATAGCCATTAACATATAATCTATCACATATTCTATGCCAACTTGATATTAAAATACAATGTGTCACATTTTCGTGGCACTGAAATGAGTCTTTGTGAGCAATATATGTAGGTTTGAAAGAGGAAGAAATATTTGGACAATTAGACATCCGAATTCATTTTGACGAAACACATTTTTTGCTAATATATTCTAACAATAAAACCCTAGTACCATCACTCAATTGAACCGATTTGGTATCAACAGACTATCTAGTCAATTAGTATCACTTTAGATTTAACTATACAGCATTTACTATAACTCATATATTTTGAACCATAACAAACAATTTCCCTTCTTGCGACACGTCGAATACTTCCTCACTTCTCCTTTCTCACTTTCTTTCTCTCTTTTGTTTTTCCCAACCTAAAATTTTTCTTCTTGGGTTTTTTTGTCTTTTCTCTTACTTTTTCCCTGCTCTCGACGGAGCCGGTAGGTGTTCAATAAACTTTTTATTTCAAATCAATATAAAAAACTATCTATAAATATTCTTTTTTTTTGTTACTTAAGAATAACATTGATTCTCCTCATTACACAATGCTCATCTGGTGTTCCCTTGGTATGAAAAATAAAGTAAATTTTCACTAAAAATCTGAATTAATAAAGTACAGAGGTGAAGCCCCCAATATTCCTCCTTGTCTCTGATATATTTTCCCTTTCAACAGTACAATATCATCCTATCTCGAAGATATGCCTATGATACCTCTATCTGAACTCGCTTTATTAAACCATGCAGTTACAGTGAAAGATTGATATAACTATAGGCTCAAGTTTGTTACTGTCATTTGTAACTGTTAGAGAGAGATTATTCTTATATAAAAAATGGTGATTCTGAAAACTAGGCAAAAAGAATCAAAAATTCCAACAATGGGAGCAATATTACTGCTCACAAGATAGTTTTGTTGTGAGCTATAACTGTAAGTTTCATGTTGGACTTTGGTATAGATATGAATTGTAGTAGCAAGTTATGTAGGCATCAAAATAGTTAGAAACATGACTGTTGACTTAGATGGGAGCTGGTGATACAGCTGTCAAGGTATTGTGTGATGTGGAATATAAGAACAGAGGTAAATGTTTAGGTAGTTTCATTCATGGATTGATTGAGAGGTCGGATAATGAAGAATTGGGTTGGTCAGAAAGGTTCTGCTGATTCCCATGGGTTTCTGTCGGATACAAGGGAATGAGTCACTTTGGATTTGTTATCGCTAATGGCTTTTTGGGTATATTTGGAGGCTTCACCTTGCCTATTGTATTCTTTCGTTTCTTGCTCTTTCACGGAATGTCTCATGTCTCTCGCGACATCAAAACCTTCGAACAACAATACTTTTGGCTTGTACTTCCGATAAAACGTTTATTCGAACACGATACTGTATGTCAATACACTGTGTAATCTATTGGTGTCTTATTGCATATCTGTTTGTAGGTGAAGTTATCCACGTGCTGGTTCCCGAACTGTGAACTCCAACTCCTCACACCCTTTTTTTTTTTTTTTTTTTTTTTTTTTTAATTCATGTAGTTTTAATTAATTCTAGATACAAAACTCTGCATGCAGTCATAGACTATGGCATAAAAATATCTCTCCCCAACTTTAGAGAACCAAATTTCACAACCCCAGATAAACAAAGGAAAATAGTGAAAGGAAACAAAGAACGTTGACATGCTGACTGGCTGACTGCAAGGAAAAACGACGCTTTGGCGGTCCATATCCGACATAGGAAAGTTTCCTGCTGGTTTCAAATAACCTGTTGCCCCTTGAGGGTCTTTTGTGGGTGCGGGATACCACAATTCTGGGTTGTGTTTCGCGGCGGCTAGGTGGTGGAGGGAGGGGAGCTGAGTGTGCTTGACACCTCAGTTCCGGACAAGAGGGGGGAGAGGTGTTCCTTTCTGGGGAAGTTCGTTTTGGTGGTGGTGATGAAGGCTCCTAGAGCTAGTGAGTTGGTGCGGTCGTTCCAGATTTCTTCAAGGGTTTTGATCCCTGGGAGGAGTTGGGTGCGTTGGGTTGCCTTTGCTCGGCAGAAGAGGATGGCGTGTTCCGTGGTTTCAGGGCCTTCGCCGCATCTGTCGCATTTATCGGAGAGGTGGAGGTTGAGCCAGGATTTGTGGCCTCTGAGGTAGCTTTTTTGGGCTCTCATTTGATGGATTCGAGTAGCCGTCAACCCCTCACACCCATCGCTTAGCAAAATATACTATTGCGACTATAGCAAAACACTAACAATCTGGCTTCAACAAACCCCATAAGCCTATACAACCCTCCGAACATCACAGTGAGAAAATGAACCCTCTCCGGAGCCTACCCATGCTCCAACCAGTCAGGGACATCAGTCATGTCCCAACAAGCTTCACTCAGCTCCTAGTTTATGGGCACTCTGCCACTAGGCACCCCAGCGCCTCCTGTCGTCGCCGAAACTCAAACTCAAACTCAATCCTAATCTACACAATCAGCCCAAACCGAACTCAGCCAAAGTGAACAGACACCCCTCAATGACGAACCGTATTCAACCTATGCTGAACATGCACAAGATACTGAACCCTATACCCCCTGATACGATTACACTCACCTGAGCATTGTCCCGCTGGAAACACATGCCAAAATTGATTTTGACTATATCTGTAATGGGAATTTGTAAGGGACCGTGTGCGAAGGCTTGGTAATGGGGTCGAAGGACACTAGGGGGCTCTTGGGAAGGAAAAAGTAGGCTCGCACGATGACGAGGGTGGAGTCAGCGGTGTGCCCAAGGGCAGGGACAATGGTCCGTACTAGGACGGAGGAGACAGCGGTCGGCGAGGGGGCCGAGGGGAACAGCGAGGTAAGCGAGCAGAGGGCCACGAGGGCGACGACGAGGAGCATAACGGCGGATGCGAAGAGCATGATGGGCAGCAGACGTAATGGGGACTGAGAGTAAAGAAGTGTATTGAAGCGAAGTAAATCCCCCAAAGTAATAACTCAAAGTAAAATACAAGATGTTGCGTAAGGAAAGAAGTAGACAGTGAGGGGGCAAACACCCCTATATATAAGAAAGAGAAACAACCCGATTACTAATCCTTCGCAGAAACTTCCGGCGCTTTCCGATGACTCAGGCTTCCTCCGTGTTGCGGTAGTGGTTCGGAACAGTTTAGCCCCTCCTCTCGAAGAGCGAGCTCCTGCGAGCAGGTAGGCGAGGCAAACGTAAGTACATAGCAAGTCAGCAAATGGTTGTAGGCGAAACATCAGGGAACGTAACATAGAGCGGTTTCATTTGCGAAAGAAACCGTAACAAACTATACTTTCCTACGCAAGCTCCTCTTAAGGATTGCCGCGGGTTTGTCGGGATATAGGGAGCGGAAGCGTTGCAGTGCCCCTAATTCCGCATCGAGATTCCGAGCCGGTTCCCAGGTGGGCTGTTCGTAGCCGGTCCATTTGACTAGGTATTGTAGTTGCCGATGCCGTATTCGGGAGTCCAGTACTTCCTGTACTTCAAACTCCTCCTCCCCTTCAACGATTACCGGGGGCGGTGGTGGTTGTATGTGGCCTGGCAAAGGTTGGGTCCGAGCAGGTTCTAGCAATGAAACGTGGAATACTGGGTGGGACTTCATCGAGGCGGGGAGTTCCAAGCGGTAGGCATGTGATCCGATGCGTTCGAGTATTTTGAACTTCCCTAGCCGTTTGTGATCTAGTTTATCCGATGGCCTAGTGGTGCGTATGTGTTTTCTCGATAGCCATACCATATCTCCTACTTCGAGTCAGGGCTCTGGAAGTCGGGCGGCGTTTGCACTATCGGCGGCGGCGGCTTGTGCATACAGGATCTCTGATCGCAGGGCAGCCTGTAAGGTGGAGATTGAGTTCGTAAATTCCAGTACCTCCTTCGGTGTGACTTTGCGCGTTTCTTCAGCAGGGAGAACGTCTAGTTGGGGATTATACCCATAGTTGGCAAAGAACGGGCTGACTCCCAACGGTTCCGTAGAGGCATTGTTATGCGCGAATTCTGTCAGGGGAAGGAACTCTGCCCAGTTATCCTGTTGGTAGTTGACGTAGCCCCATAAGTATTGCTCCATAATGACGTTTACCCTTTCGGTCTGTCCGTCTGTTTGTGGGTGGAAGGTTGTGCTGAATCGGGGTTTGATGTCCAGTTGGCCGCAGAGTGACTTCCAAAACTGCGAGGTAAAGGTTGTGCCCCTGTCTGATACTATGTCTTTCGGCAGCCCGTGTGCTTTCCAGATGTGTTGTAGGAATAGTCGGGCCAGTTCCGGGGCGTCGGCGGTGTCTCTCGTGGGGATGTAGTGGGCCATTTTGGTTAGCCGGTCGACCACTACTAAGATGGCGTTAGATCCTTGGGACTCGGGTAGGCCTGTAACATGGTCCATGGATAACGAAGACCAAGGTTTGACTGGGGGAGCCAATGGTTTGAGGAGGCCATACGGGGCGTGTCGGGCCGGCTTAATTTGGGAGCAGGTATCGCAGTGGTCCACATAACGGCCAACGTACTTCCGCATTTGGGGCCGGTAGAAGTTCCGGGACAGTAGTTCCAGCGTGCGTGCCCGTCCTGGGTGTCCGGCCGAAGGTGCATCATGGTGGGTGCGGAGGATCTCCAACTTGACAGCGGCGTCGTCAGGGATGTATAGTAGGCCCTGATAGTACAGTAATCCTTCCTTAACTGTGCATTCACCTATGGGTAAGAAGCGGGAGTGTTTCTTCTTGGCCGCGATATCCTTAATGAGTTGTTTAGATAGAGGGTCCTTGGCCAGTGCGGTCTCTAGTTCCCTTTGGCGGGATGGTGCCACTTTGGAGGGTGTGGGGGTCTGTAGTGCGGCCGCCAGACGAAGGTTCTTTGGTTTTAGTACAACCTGGTGCTGCTGGGTCAATCTTTCATCCCCTTCCTTAGGGAGATCTCCAGATCGACGTGTGAGGGCATCAGGTTTCCCATTCTTCGTACCCGGGCGGTAGGTGATTACAAAGTTGAAGGAGGACAGCGTTAAGGACCAGCGGGCTTGACGACGGTTAAGGATCTTTGTTGACATGAAGTGCTCCAGGTTCTTATGGTCGCAGTACACCGTGGTTTCTTGGTTGTTGGGTTCTAAGTACTTTCGCCATTCTTCAAACGCGCGTACGATTGCTAGCAATTCTTTGTCGTAAATGTCGTAGTTGCACTCGGCTGGCGTCATCTTGTGGGAGTAGAACGCCACAGGGTGTAGGATTCCCTGGTCGTCCTTCTGGGAGAGTACCGCTGCCGCGACAAAGTCAGAGGCGTCGGTTTCCACTATGCACGCTCGTTCGGGGTCATAGTGCCTTAGTACCGGGGCGGTGGTGAAAGCTTCCTTTAGTTGGGCGAAAGCGTGTTCCGCCGCGGTTGTCCATACGAACGGTGCGTCCTTCTTTAGCAGATTCGTCATGGGGGATACTACCTTGGAGTAATCGCGGATGAATCTTCGGTAGAAGTTGGCGAACCACAAAAAGACCTGTACGTCGTGGACCGAGGTGGGTGTGTTCCACTCCTGGATCGCCTTTGTTTTGTCGGTTGCTATGGTGACCCCTTCGCCGGATATGATGTACCAAAGGTACTCGGTACGATCCACGTGGAACTCACACTTCTCTGGCTTGCAGTGGAGGCCCGCGGCTTGTAGTTTGTCCAGGACAATGTGGACATGCTGCTGGTGTTCTTCGGACGTGTTGGAGTAGATCAGGATATCATCGAGGTACGCCGTGCAGAAGTCGTCCAAGTGGGTTCGGAGGGTATCGTTCATGAAGGCCTGGAAGGTAGCTGGGGCGTTGGTGAGTCCGAATGGCATGACCAGGTATTCGAACAGCCCGTACCGGGTTCGGAAGGCTGTTTTCCATTCTTCCCCTTCCTTGATTCGGATTTGGTTGTAGCCCTGGCGGAGGTCCAACTTGGTGTATACTTTGGCGTCTTTTAATCGGTCCAAGGTGTCGTTGATCAACAGCAGTGGGTAGCGGTTCTTGATGGTGACTGCGTTGAGGGCGCGGTAATCCACGCATAGCCTTAAGGATCCGTCCTTCTTTTTGATGAACAGGACGGGAGCTCCTGCAGGGGACGAAGATGAACGGATGTAACCTCGGGCTAGCTGGTCATCCAGGTACTCCCGCAGGGTTTTTAATTCCTCCGAGGACATGCCGTACAGGGGGCCAAAGGGTGGTTGCTTGCCTTCCATCAACGGGATATCGTGATCGATGTACCGGTGGGCGGGGAGCGCTTGGGCCTCGGATTCCTGGAACAGGTGGAGGTATTGGTGGTAAGCGGCAGGGACCAGTTCGTCGGTTGATTGGGACGGCGCTGAGTTTGGGCTTGGGGCTCGGGCTGCGAGGAGGAAAAGCTGTTTGTCCGGTTGTTGTGCTTCTCTGCGGAATCGGGCGGCGGACAAGGTAATCGTGCGGCGAGGGGTGGCTGGCCTTGGGGGTATCGGCGGCGGGTGCAAGGGGATGGTGGTGCTTGGTCTCGGGGGTATTGGCGGGGGCGGCAGGGTGGCGGCGGAGGAGGTCAATGGGGGACAGGTGAGGGTGGAGGTCCAGAGAGTTGCAGTGTGCTGTTGGCAGCGTTCGGCGTGGAAGGAGATGGATCGGTCGGCGAACCGTATTTCGGCAGCGTGGTGTTGTAGCCAGGGGAGTCCGAGGACCACTTTCACGTCGCCGAGTTTTGTGATAAACAAGGAGGCCCCTTCCACATGATCATTCATCTCGAGGCGGAGTTTGCAACAGTGGGTGATGGCTCCGGAGGCGATGGCTCGTCCATCGATCACTTGCAAATGTCTCGGGGTCGCGAGTTCTTCGAGGGCGTATCCGCGGGCCTTGGCGAAGGAAGCGTCAATGAACCCATATCCGGTGGCTCCGGTGTCCACCAGCGCGTGGAGCGCGTCCTTGTTCCGAGATAGCCGTATTGGTACTTCAAAGGGTTCGCAGTCGCCGGGGTGGTGTAGTTGTCCGATCTTTAGTTTGGCTCCTACCCTTCGCGTCCGTAAGAGTCGTGTGGCCGTGTGGGCGCCGGGGGCGTTGGTGACGTGGGCTGTGCCCCCATGACAGGTGACCAGGGCAGGGAGTAGTGGTGCTCCTAACCGATGAAGGGTATTCAAGACCTTGACAGGCGATGGGTATGGTCCGATGCCGATGAGGTAGGGGTGGAAGTCCCTGGAGGTTAGTGTTAGGAAACACCAACCCGGATCGCTTCCTGTAGGGTTTCCAAAAGAGGCCGCACGTTGGAGGAGGAGGCGTTGTAGTCGTCGAGTGCGTCGGGGTGTCAATAGTGGGGGGGTTTGGTCGGCGAGTGGTTCCTCCCTAGCTCGGGGGAGAAGTCTACCGAGTAGGTAGGCTGTTGTCCAGGCTAGGAGGAAGAGGCCGGCGTAAGCGAATGGTAGCAGTGTGTTGGTGTTCTCCGGAGAGAGGGTGTCGGTCGACCATGAGATACGCAACATAGTGTAAGGGACCGTGTGCGAAGGCTTGGTAATGGGGTCGAAGGACACTAGGGGGCTCTTGGGAAGGAGAAAGTAGGCTCGCACGATGACGAGGGTGGAGTCAGCGGTGTGCCCGATGGCAGGGACAATGGTCCGTACTAGGACGGAGGAGACAGCGGTCGGCGAGGGGGCCGAGGGGAACAGCGGGGTAAGCGAGCAGAGGGCCACGAGGGCGACGACGAGGAGCATAACGGCGGATGCGAAGAGCATGATGGGCAGCAGACGTAATGGGGACTGAGAGTAAAGAAGTGTATTGAAGCGAAGTAAATCCCCCAAAGTAATAACTCAAAGTAAAATACAAGATGTTGCGTAAGGAAAGAAGTAGACAGTGAGGGGGCAAACACCCCTATATATAAGAAAGAGAAACAACCCGATTACTAATCCTTCGCAGAAACTTCCGGCACTTTCCGATGACTCAGGCTTCCTCCGTGTTGCGGTAGTGGTTCGTAACAGAATTATGCAATTCAACTCGACAATATTGGAATAGGAAGAGGAGGTATTGCGCAGGGGATTAGGATTTGTAATGAGGATTTCTATTATATTCTTTCAGTTTCTGTTACGCGAAGGGATGAGTTATTATCGGACAAGGGTATTGGATATATAAAAGGGTGTTGTCTCGTGCCATTTCTTGTTTCGTTTCCTTTCCTTGTCCTTTCACGCAACCTCTGTGCCTTATACTACGAATATAACTTTGTTCTACGTCACCTCCTAGAGTTTACCTTTATCCTCGATCAAGTCAAACCTTCCCACAGTCCATAGCTCTGAATACCTATACACATTGTCCTTGTCTTGGTTGTATTCCTTGACATCATAGCCTATTGCCCATAGCTCCATGATAGGTAGGTTGCATCCTCTACCGACAACCAATACAATACCATTGTCTACAATATCGGAATAAGTTCCTATCGATTGACAACAACTAAGCGAGGCCCTCCAAGTCTTCTTCCAAGAGCACCAACAGGTCGATAACAATATCGGAGTAGAGGTGTACGTACTTCTCCAACGGTGCCAATATGGCCTTCCCCACTATGCAACGGACTTACAGGAAGTGGAGAGAGAGGCTGGAGATGCAAGAGAGACGTTTGAGGGAAACCTTGCTGCCGTTCGGGCCCAACGGGTTGCTGTTGAAGTGGTTGCCCCTGATAAGGATCCCATCGGAGATGACAATGCTCCACCTGTACCCCCAATACCACCAGTCACAGCTACTACCCACCGGTCGGAGAAACTTCCAGATCCTGAGGTATTCAGAGGAGATCGCGATCGAGAGAGGTTACATTTATTCAAGCAACAGATGAGAATCAAACTGTTGGGAAATGCCGATCGCTTCCCTACGTTACAGTCTAAATTATCCTACTCATTCAGCCAATTGTAGGCCGTTGCCGCTAATCAGTTTTTGCAATATGTCGGGAAAGAGGGCATCGCTCTGCCTTCTATGTTATGATTCTATGAAATCTTGGATACTGCTTTTGGGGACCCTGATCGAATGCGAACGCCTAGAAGGAATCTTAGGAAGATCTGCCAACGAAATCAAATGTTTGCTGAGTATTTCGCCGAATTTCAAAGGTATGCTGCTGAATCAGGGATGGATGAAGTCTCTCGGATTGAGGCTTTAATGGAAGGTATTTATAGCCAACTCGATGAGTCAATGATACACCATGAAACTCTTACGATCGTAGATGCCTGCGCGATACTTTTGCAACGGTTAGATAATCGCCGTCGAGCGGCAGAAGCCAAGCGAGGGAATAAAACACCTTGGAGCGCTACTCCGGTTTCTCGTCCTCCACCAACGAATCCTGTCCTTACTCCCCATTCTGCCACCTCCGCTGTGAATACACCTGTTCCTGAGAATCATCCTTCGTTCCGCCCGGGAGTCGATGTACCAATGGACTTATATGGGGGACGTCGTCGCCCAACCCATGCCGAAAGAAACGCCCGCTTAGCTGAGGGCCGATGTTTCTATTGTGGAGGTGTTGGACACATGGTTAGGGACTGCCCCCAAGCAAGGGCAATGGGAAATCAACCAGGAAGGCCGTTGATGAGAGGAGCAGCATTGAGGGTGAAGAAAATGATGGGAGCGATAACGAGTCGGCAAAAGATTTATCCCTGCACTTAGTGGCTTAGCCCAGGAACCATTTAGGGATTTTTCTAAAATGTGTATTTCTGGCTTTTGGGTATCAGAGGAGGAAATCTATGGGAATCAATTTTCAGTAACTTGTTCGATTTCACAGAATAAAAATTTTTTCATACCCACCTACACTCTTATTGATATCGGAACATCACGATATGCTTTTATTGAAGAATTTTTTGTATGCCACAACAATTTTATAATGACCTCCCTCAAACTACACCGCCATGTAGATGTTCTAGACGGCAGACCTATCAAGTCGGGAAAAATCACACATATTGTCGATATCTCGCTAGACATTCATGGCCATCGAGAAACGGCGTCATGTTTTGTGACAAAGTTAGGACACTATCAGATTGTGATGGGGATACTTTGGATGCGGCATCATAACGTTACTTTTCAATCAAAGGAAAACCTACTCATTTTTAACCCTAGGAGTTGTTCTCAACACTGTTCACTCAGTGGAACGGCAGTTACTGTTCATGGTATACCAATTGCTTTACCGGAAGATCATACAATCATCGATTCAGCAAATGATAAACCTATTGTTGATATCAAAAAACTAGTACAAAGAGAATTTCATCACTGTCTCCATATGTTTAAGGAATATGACGCGTCAATCCTTCCACCACATCGGCCATCTCATGATATCAAAATACTATTAGCAGAAGGTAAACGACCACCATATGTACCGATATATGGGTTATCTCAAATCGAGTTGAAAGTACTACGAGAATATCTTGATGAAAATCTACCCAAAAGATTTATTCGGGCCAGTGAATCACCGGCGGGAGCACCTATACTGCTTGTAAAGAAAAATGATGGAACTCTTCGACTCTGTGTTGATTATCGAGGCTTAAATGCAATGACAATCAAAAATCGATATCCTCTACCATTGTTAAAAGAAACACTGGCTAAGTTGTCAAGAGCAAAATACTAAAACAAGTTGGATTTGCGTTGGGGGTATAATCAAATCAGGATAGCGGAGAGCGATGAATAGAAAACGGCATTCTGAACTCGATAGGGACCTTTTGAATATACAGTGATGCCGTTTGGGTTAGCTAATGCCCCTGCCACATTCCAACATTGGATCAACGATATCTTCCGTCCTTATCACGACCAGTTCGTAACGGCCTATTTAGACGATATCCTAATCTACTCTGAAACCCTAGCAGAACATAAAGAAAACATTCGGAATGTTCTTAAGGTACTTGATGAGAATTATGTTCATCTTAAACCCGAAAAGTGTGAATTTATGGTTCAAGAAACGAAATATCTTGGTCTTATCCTCACTCCGCATGGAAATAGAATGGATCGGAAAAAGTTGATGTTTTAGAATGGTCCAAGCCTAAGAATTTTCCCGATATTCAAGGATTTCTAGGATTCCCTAATTTCTACCGACCATTCATCCTAGGATATTCAAAAATCGTTGCCACACTTACAGCCCTAACCAAAAAGAATGTCAACTTCGAATGGGCTGATGAAAGTGAAGAAGCGTTTCAAACTTTAAAGAAAATGTTCACCACTACACCGATACTAGCCCACTTCGACCCTGATCGGAGAATCGTTGTAGAAACTGATGTTTCTGATTATGTTTCTGCAGGAATTCTATCTCAACGTGATAAAGAAGGAGTCCTACACCCAGTCGCTTTCTTCTCCAAATAACATTCTCCGGCAGAATTCAATTATGAAATTTATAATAAAGAGATTTTAGCAATCATACGATGTATTGAGGAATGGTGACATCATCTGGAGGGAGCCGATTCCAAATATAAGTTTTTAGCGACTATCGAAACCTTGAATATTTTATGACAACAAAATTGTTGAACCGCTGGCGAGCCCGTTGGTCAGAATTTCTCTCACATTTTGACTTCGTTATAAAATCCCGACCAGGAAAGCAAGGAGCGAAACCAGATGTATTGACTAGAATGTCAGGTGACCTACCTAGAGAGGGGGAAGAACAGTTGGCACATCAGAGCCAAGTGGTTCTGAAGCGGAAAAATTTGGATACAAAGCTAAGTTTGTTCACGGGTTCTTTATCAAATGAATCCGCTGAAGCAATATCCATTGTAGAGGAGTTATTTTCAACAGCTTATGAAGTCGATAGTTTCCCAAACAAAGTTCTTACTATGCTACGGAATGGCACCCGTTATTCGAATAAAATTTCGCTTGCTTAATGTAGGGAAGATACTAACGGCCGATTACTTTATCGAAGTGTGCTATACGTACCAAATGATAATGACCTTCGGCTAAGGCTCTTAAAAGAACACCACGACAAACCATCGGCAGGATACCCCGGCAGAGCAAAAATATTGGAAGTCCTAAATCGAGAATATTATTGGCAACAAATGCGAAAACATGTCGACCAATATGTTAGGAATTGCAATGTGTGTACCTATAGCAAAGTACCACGCAATGCACCTTATGGAGTACCCCATCCTATACTGATACCTGAGGGACTGTGGGGCGATATATCGATGGATTTTGTTACAGACCTCCCTGAAAGCGATGGGTATAATGCAATCCTAGTTGTGGTAGATAGGTTAACGAAAATGTGACATCTAATACCAACGACTAAAGAGACGGATTCAAAGGAAGTGGCGAGGCTTTATATCGATAATGTTTGGAAGCTGCATGTACGAACCAATACCATCGTATCCGATCGTGGAACTCAGTTGGTTGCGGAATTCTGGAGATCGTTTTGTGATCGGTTAAAAATATTATCGAAATTCTCTACTGCATTTCACCCCCAAACAGATGGACAGACGGAAAGAATTAATGCCGTAATGGAACAGTATCTTCGAAGCTATATATTTTATCAACAGGACGATTGGGCTCGATTGTTACCAATTGCTGAATTTGCAACAAATAACCACGCTTCGGAGACAACAAAGGTCTCCTCCTTTTGTTCCAATTCGAGGAGAAATCCAAGGATAACCTTTGGTCTTTTGGAACATGGTAAGACCACAGCGGAAGATCAAGTTAATCGCATCCCCCAAGTAATGAAAGATGTAGTGGATTTTCTAAGGGAAGATTGGTTTCGGGCGCAAAGGATACAAGAAGAGTCAGCCAACAGAAATCAAATTCCAGCCCCCTGTTATCATTTACGAGACAGGGTTTTCCTATCGATATGCCATATTTAACTAAACGGCCTTCCAAGAAACTCGACTGGAAACGTATTGGACCTTATAATATCAAATGGGTAGTCAACCCCTATATTTATGAATTGGATCTCCGCCGGCTGATGAAACTATATCCAGTATTTCATGTCTCATTATTGTCACCTGAAGCAGGCAATCCCCTACCTGGGCAACAACAGTTGCCGCCCCCTCTAGTTGAAATCAAAGGGGAGGAAGAATAGGAAGTCGAAGATATTGGGACTCACATCAGCAAGCTCGCCTATTACCCAGGGCGCAGCCCCTACGTCCTGGCGAGCATTCTGCGCCACGAGCGCCCAGCGCGTCCGGCACCGCCAGAGTACAACCTTCGCGCCAGGCTCCGCCGCAGGACCGTCCCACTCTCTGGGACCGCCTGGAGATATGGCTCACGTCCGGAGGGCACTCGCCAATGCTCTGGTCGCCTGGGCCGCCATGAGATTCCCTCCCCCTCCGGAGACGCTAGGATGGAGTGACTCCGCCCACAGCACCTAGGAACCTTTGCTTCTTTTGATTACGTCAGTAGTACACGCGAGCACTTCCCAATGCTCTCACAGTTTTCTTGAATGCTCTCACGGCACGACGAATGCTCTCACAGCACGGCGAATGCTCTCACGGCACCGCGAATGCTCTCACGGCACCGCGAATGCTCCCGCGAATGCTCCCGTGAACGCTCCCGCGAACGCTCCCGCGAGGGCTTCCGCGAGTGCTCCCAGAGCACTCACCAGTGCTCACAGAGCTGAGGCATTCGTCATACCCACTCAAGGTGAGGCAACCCTCACTTGGGCTCCTTTGGATTGATACACCGTCCTCAAAGGATAGGAAGGCCGCACCAGTCCCTCAAAAGATATCTAACGTGGGTATCCTCAACGCCGCTGTACGGTCAGTCGCGGGATACTGATACGAGCACTGTCCTGTATACTGGTGACGACTACCCAACCTTTGACGGACGTGTATGTTTCTGTCGATTCGTGAAAGGCATAATTAGCCTTGAGGTTGAGGCCATGGTACGGCTCGTCTGAAAAGCTCAATGTCCATGCATAAGCAGCAAACATGGACTGGCATTGACCTCCTGGAGCGAGCTTGCTGGATAGCCAGACTCAGATACTGAGCGGCCGAAACTTTACCTCCTTCTTCCAATCCGCATGCATAGCAGAACGACACGAATTTTGAATTAGAGAGTCCAATTGGGTCTAACGTTCCTAGAGCACTCAAGAATGCCCTCACGGCTTTACAAGTATTCAACTAAATTCATTCCACGTACGCAAGTCTATCCTAGTATTTACCAACCAATTACCAGTCTCCACCTCAAACAAATGAGCCATTCCCAATATACTCCGAATATTAACGACCCACATCCTCTTCCTCCTCCTCCTACAAACCTTCAGGAGCCCATGTGAGCTATCAGCGATACCACGATCCTTTGCCTCGAGTAGCTCCACTATACATAGTCTATGTGCTCGCCCCCCACTGTCCCGCAGCTTGAACAAAGCCTCGACACGTCCTGGTAAGCGTCCCCGAAACACTCCCCACTCCTCTGAGGACGCTACCGACACCCATACCCAATCCTTTCTTATTTTCCCTTTCCTAAAAGCCGCGTTTCCCGTACACCTGATATTGTGAACCTCGTACACCTCAGGTCTTTGGAAGATTGGTATCGGAACCTGCAAACATGTGAACATCTCCACCCGGCGCTCTAAAGTGCTCTCAGGGCTTCCGGCAAAGCTTTGAGAGCATCCCGAATCCTCTGCATACTCCTTTATCAGGCGATATAACGTGGTATGGCTTATTTGCAGTCCATCCGCAATATTGAAAAGTCTTTCCGATTTCGTGGAGGGGTTGCAAAGACGCCTTAGAGGCAGTCGGCCTTCTACTATGGATCGTTCATTTGGTGTTTTTTTCCGGTCTTCGATTTTAAAAATCTCAAGTAACTCCTTCAGGTTATCTCGATGGCTCCAAAGGATGTCGTCAGTGCTCTCAGGACCTCCAACAATGTCTTTCAGATTCAGCATTCGAATCTCTAACGCCAACCGCCGCCCCCCATAGTCCAGTATCTGCGTTGCAGCATCGACCTTGTTGGATGCTCCGTATGCCTCTTTTATCTGACGTACATGGGCGAGTTCGCTGATGTCGGTGGAGTACTGGGGAATGCTCCCAAAGCGCTCGACATGTTCCCGATAGTGCGTTAACACGTGCAATTTGATGAAGTTGAAGTGAGACCTTTCCCGTATCTCGCGAATCTCCTCCCAACCTTGCTGAGCGCTCTGGGAGCCCGAGGTCTTCACAGCTTTTGTCCGATCTCTCGCATCCTTAACCGTCCTCTTGTACGCCCGGAATTCTAAAAAGATATCCTTGTGCTTATGGAAATCCTCGAGATAGCTCTCCATATAATTCAGTGTGCTCGTCGTATGACTCCCATACTGCGCCATTAAGTGGAAGTCGATTAAGCCTCGTACACATTTCAATGCCTTTGCGAAGTCGCCCCTGACAGCCACCCCCGGGTTTCTCAAAGCAGCCGCGAGTGCTCCAAGAACGACCCGCCCCAGATTTCTCATCTCCTTCCCTTGCCATTGGGTTGTGGCACGATATGCCTTGTTCGGTACTGCCAGTCCAGGGTAAGGCGCAATCGAGGCCCAAGCCTTGTCAAATTCCTCCAATCGATTGTGCTTCTTCAAGAAAGCCTGAACCCACTCCATCATGTGCTTCAACATCCCTAGGTAGATATTGTGCAGAATGTCCGGTTTGTTGAGATCGTATGGATTAACCCTCGGCATACCCCAGAAAGCATTGAAGAGTGTCTTTACTGATCTCGCGACAAGGTATTCCACCGGTCCCAGGTTTCCCGGGTTCTCCCTGAATAGCTTTACCCTCTCCCGGTAATCCTCGTGATCGCGCGTAGGGCTCCGGCGAGTGCTCCCAAAACTGTGGAATTCCACCTCGCATCTTGGACAAGAGCTAGTACTAATATTTTGTAAGTTTGAATGCTCAGGTTGATCAGCGATCCAACCCAACAACACCGGAAAGCATAGATGTTCGTACCCGTCGGCGCATACGATTAGCTCGCCTTCCTGAGAGCACTCCCGAATGCTCTGAAAGATCTCCCCAAGGGCGCGATGCAGCGCCATTTGACTCTGACGTCGTAAAGCGGAATTAGCGAGTGAGTTCTTCCCGAGCTTAGGTGGGACTGGCAGTAGCCATAGGAGAATTAACGAATGCCCGGTGGGCTTGCTCCGGACCGATGACTTGATGTTCCCGATGGTAAGATAGATTGGCCAGGCTTTCTTGTCCCCACTAAAATTTGTCAAATGTGTGCCATCTGACGCGCATATAATTGGTACCACAGTCGACCCCTCCGGTAAGTTATTCTGTCCAGAAAGCATTAGCGACTGCCTCTAGAGCACTTGTGAGGCTTACCAGACCTGCGTCTCCCACCACCAATCTCCCGTATGCATTTCCCCGTACATTCTCTCGCCAGATTCATTATGCTCTACCACTGGCGCGTACACCAATGACTCCCGAAAGGCCCGTTGGCCTAGAAGATATCGCACAATTACCATTGGATCCCGGTAATAGTAAGGGATTTTCTCTCCCCCAATATCCACCTCCGAAGGATGCCAGCTCGCCTTTCCCAATATGTCATTCATTTCGTCCAACCTCTTTATAAAACCTCGCCCAGTCCTGTAGGAGCATTCGCCACTGCTTGACGGAGCGTGTAGAAAGAAACTGTCGATATTTCCTTGTGAGGCCTTCGACAGTATGAAATAACGTGCCATTCTAAACTCGTATGCTGAGTTGAATGGGTGCCACGGGTATCGGAGAAGGTTTTGTGAGCATTCGTCGTAGTCCTCCGAGCGGTAGAGACGCTCCCCAGCACCCTCGTAAATCGTTGTCGCTGCCTCATGCCTATTTGCATCTCCATCTGTCTCTTCCATCATAAAATATGATTCGGATTCCAGATCTGAATTATTATCGGGATCTTGGTCATGATAATTGATACTGTTGCTCTCCGAACTATCCGAGTCGTCATGGGCATCTGAATAGGAATCGTGAATGCCTTCCGGGCTGTCGTGAGTGTCATCGGGTGCCTCTTGATCGCGCTCCAGGAGTAAAAATTGGTTTCCCAGCCATTCATCTGCTTCAAATGGATGTGTAGTTCGAAGATGTTTATCGAAGTTCGCGGGGGAGCTGTACCGCTTGCTGCAAAAGGGGCAAGACGATTTCATTGAAGTCTCATGATGCTAGCAAAGCACTCCTGAGTGCTCTAAAAATTTGGTTTCTGCCAAGGCCGAGGAGGCTCTTTCCTGCAGGTGCTGCTGCAGAGTGCTCGAATGATTTGATTTGTCAGCCAATGAGGCTCCTCTCACCTGCACCCCGGTCGGCAAGGCTGATTTTCAATACGAGTCTGATGTCATACATCACCAACCTAATACAAACATCAACACCAACACGAAGAATCACCCACCACCCCAATCAGGCGGCCAGTTATGCTAGATTCTATCGCCCTGAGCATCTGCACTCTCTCCCTGAGCACTCGCGGAGTCTCTTCAGATCGAGACAGTGTTCTCAGCGCCAAATTCAACACTAATATCGACTACGAGCTCAAGAATACATTCTCTCCGAATCAGCTTCCTAGAGGACAGAGTACCAACACCAACAAGAACACAAGCATCAACCCCAACACCAGAATGTTATCGACGTCACCATTGGTACCGTCAGAGCATCCCCGAGTGCGCCTGGAGCATTTAGATCAACGTCATATATTGAAGCAAACATTGAGTACGAGCACCCTCGAGTGCTTCTAGAGCATTCGTGGGTGCTCTCGGAAGCGTGATAAGCTCAAGAAAAAAGCTGATCGTACTCGGTATAAGAGCACCCCTCCCTTCCTTCAAGTTCGTGAGAAGTTCCTAACCACCTTCAAGTTCTCCTCTACCTATCACTTCAAGTTTTCCATTGCTTTCAACATTACCTGTTGAAATCTCATCCTTCAAGTTCCTCCGTTTTCAAGCGATTTAACCTTTGCAATCTTTATAAATAAGATGGTATTTCTCTCTCCTAATCCAATTAATTTTAGAACCATACTCACCACAGTGATACATTAACATTATCAGACTCCAAACACCGCTCAGAGCACTCCCGGTAGCTCACAGAACACAAATCAACTTCCCAATAAGAAGCGCTTGCATGACATAGACGAAGACGATAACGAAAAGACCCACCGAAAAACCAAGAACACAAATCGTCCCGAAAACATAAGAAACACCGAACTTCCTCAGGTCGCAATCGTCCCGCAAAACTGTCAAGCCTATCCTGGAGGAGATACCAGAAACACCCCTAAGCAGTCGCCAGTGCTTTCCGGGTTCACCCCGATCAACAAGAGCCGAAAACAAAACCCTGTACCTCCACCAATCCGGACTGAAACCCGGACTCCGCCAAATACTAACCTAGCTCCATCGGACACTGAAGGGATCTTCCTGAGTAACTGGGGAGCAACCTAACTGATTCCGACTCCTTTCCCGACTTTAGTTCCGAACCTCTGAACCATACATAAGTGACGATCAAGACCCAGCACAGGTCCAGCAACAGGCCCACTAGCAGCAGTCTCCACTGCTTCCTCAGCAGCAGCAGTGCTTCACCAGAGGCCCTTGTACGGACGACCGTACTTAGGGTTAGTGCTACCCCACCAGCACCGCTAGTGCTCCACAAAAGAACGTTGCCCGGGAGACCATAGTCCAAGTCAAGTTCTCACTCGGTCCAAGTCTAGTGCAGTCCGCTCAACAGGCCCAGCAACAGGCGCTCAACAGGCCCAGCAGGCTCTACTACTCCTCACCAGCACCCGTCAGTGCTCCACCGAAGGTTCTTACACCGGAGACCCTACATTCAAGCCCGACGCCCCTCTCGGTTATTTTCTAGTGCAAGCCCGTCCGAACTAATAGACCACCCTCACCAGTACGACAGAGACGAATTAGACCCGAGCCATCGCCGATTGTCCAAGAGACATCCGAGTGTTCAAGAGACATCCCCGAGTATTCAAGAGACATCCCGAGCTCGACCGCATTCAAGATGACTCAAGCAAGCAAAGCGAAGATGACTTTAGGTCTACTCAACCTACCTAAAGTGTACACCAGCATCCGCAACAGCCTAAAGGCGGAAATGCAAAATGTGGTTGGGTCAATAAAAGCACGTCCGGTATGGCTGCGTTCAATGCCCTATGCCTTTACTTGATGAACTTGCCCTCCCTCAACGGTTTTCTGCCAATTTGGACTGGGGGTGACTCCGATGCCCGTAGAGCACTGGCGAGTGCTCTACAGTGGCTCATCGCAGATGTTGGTATGAAGGATAGGTTATCAAGGGACAGGGAGACCGTCAGTTCAAAGAGGCTGCCGTGATAGTGATGATGATGATGACGGCGGTGGTCAGGCAGCCGGAAGACGCTCTCGCAAAGGGAAAGAGCGTGCAGTACTCCGGAACTCGTGCGACCTTCCATAATGGTTACCGTGGTGGACCCCGATGCTCTAGGGGCATTCTTTATGCTCGTCCACCACCTACTTATGATGGAATGATCCCCTGAACGAACCTTCGTTCATCGGAATTTTGACCAAGATAACTTTCCCCGAGCTATGCAACTTGATCCTGAAGCACACCGCACCCGGCAGAGCAGTCAGGACTATCTGGGGGCAATTGAGAATGTCCCCCCGGCAGCTGTTCCTCCCGTTCGGCCGGTGGAGGTACAAATTACCGATTCAGAGGAGCTCGAAGGTTGGTTGAAGAACAGAATGCCAGGCCTCGGAGGATATTGGCGGTCCTCCACAGAGCAGGCGCGGGTGCTAACCTGGGTGGTGCGGAATCCCCCCTGTTGAACCCGGCTTTCCCTCACGTTGAGGAAGATGATTATAGCATGATCGATATTCCTGCAGAGGATTCGGATTACGAGGAGGGAAAGCACGGATAAATGCCAAAGGACTGAGGGTATATATGCCTAGAACTGATTCCAGTAATCAAAGCTAATCAGACTCTTGTTAGGCGTCGCGATAGACAGCAGGATGCTATCGACGATTTAGACCCCAAATACCTTAGAAGTATCCTTTGGGTGTCGGGGTTGCTGACCAAACTTCTTACAGGGGACGATCTGGACACCTGCCGGATAGCAGCCAAGAGAGCTGCTGACGCACTCGCGGCTGCTGGTGCTGGAGGTGGTGGTGGAGGTGGTGGTGGTGGTGGTGGTGGTGGTGGAGGTGGTGGGGTGGTGGTGGTGGTGTGGTGGTGGTGGTGGTGGTGGTGGTGGTGGTGGTGGTGGTGGTGGTGGTGGTGGTGGTCTAGGACCTCCACCGCCTCCGGGCGGACCTCTCCTCCTCCGGG